AGCTTCGAGGATTTGAGAAGATTATCCAGAAGCCAGCCGGCACACCTGCGACAAGGACCTGAACCAACCGAGTAGCTGTTTTGAGCGAGCTTGGCACTTGCTCTTCCCAACGAGTTGCATTGGCTCTTTTTTAGCATTGGTTTGGAAGACGATTCCTTGCTGTTGTGAGAGCACAAATGCCTTGTTCTGCTCAAAGAAGTAGTCATTGAAGTATCAATTTTAATATAAATATCTGATTTGGCATCTTTCGTTGTTTAGGCGGATTCATGGCGACAACGGGAAGTACGAGCGGCGTTTTCTCTATATCAGGGATGGCGCTCCATAGACCAGTGGTTCTGAATCATCATGGTTCGTAAACCGGCAGAGGTGACGGAGGATCCCATCCGCAGTGGGTCTAGCACTTTTCGGTGTACAGCGTTTTGCTGTAGGGCATTTCGGTGCGGACTTTTTGGTGCACAGACATTTCAGTGTACGGACTTTTTGCTGCAAAGACTTTTCGGTGTGGGACTTTTCGGTGCCCGGATATTTCGCTGCACGGACATTTTGATGCATGGACATTCGACGCTATGGTTTGCTCGCCAGTATCTCTTTTCCAACGTACGCAGACACGCTTCACATCGTGTTTGCGCGTTGAGTTGATAGAAATAGCCTCCTCTAAAAGGTGTTGACTTTATTATTGGTCCTGCGTGTAGGAAACGACCCAAACAGCAAGACGTTTGAAGTTGTTTGTGTATTCACAACAATTTTGAATATCTTCAAATGCGCCTCCTCCGCGTAATCGCATAGTTCCGATTGTTAATAATAAATTGTGATGACCTCGCACGACAAAAAAAAAATACAAAAAAACAATGTAATTATTACTTGTAACTCATTAGGGAATAAAGTAGGCGTGTGCGGGTACAAAATAATTGTAATCAAATCAAATAGCGATTTGAATCAAGTAAACAAGCCGAATTTGGTGAATGCTAAATCTATTTTATTTGGTATCAAATGTTTGCTCATTCTCGTACGAAAAAAAAAAACAGTGACCACAGATCATACACAGAGTATGATCTGTGGTCAACGTCTCCTTCCATGCCGTAATGATGTCGCCGGACGTAAAGAACTGCCTTACAATCGTGCTTATACAGGGCGACTTTTTTTAACGACGAGACAAAGACGTCAGAGTTATGCAATTGCGGTTTGTGCCTTATCTATAGTCATCAAAAACACCAAATCATTCCTTTTTAAAGAGATGTAGTGGACGTGAAGTGGCTCACGGCGTCCTAAAAAGCCTAATTTGGACGCGAATCGTGTTACCGCAATCTTTTCGGCCACCGCACTTCTTGCCCCTTCTACAGTGGCGTTGTCACAGCAATGCGCATGATTTGTCGCTTTAGCTTCATGGCGTTAGGGTGCCACGCGGAGATGGAGCCCACATAAAATCAGAACTATATTTTCGCGCCCAAATTAGGAAGACGCCGTATAATAGTGTACGCGCGTTACATCTTTTTAAGAATGGACGGTTTGGTGGCTTGCGATTATGGCCAACAACTTTCTAAATACAAGATGCCGTTTTCTTTTCTAATTAAGAGGTTAATTAGCGAATTTTAGGCAATCGGTCGGTTTTAGTTGCGTTCGTTATTGAACCTAATCCTCGCCTGGCCGTATAGCTCACCCACACAAACCGCAATGGCGCTAATTTTCACTGGACAATTTGGTGGCTTTCGATTACGCCCAACAACTTTATAAATCAACTATCCCGTTTTCTTTTATAATCAAAAAGTTTATTAACAAATGTTAGGTAATCAGTCGGTTTTTGTTGCGTTCTTTCTTGAACCCAATCTTCGCCTGGCCGTTTTGCTCACATCCACAAAACGTTAATTTCCACGTTTTTTTTCTAATATCTAGTAGGTGAAAAAAAAAAAAAAAAAGAAACGTTGTATATAAAATAGAGGGCAGTTCTCTTCTGATATAAATAAAGCGTGGGGCACGCGTCTTGCATGCATCTCTTTTTTTTTTCCGGGCTATGAAAACAAATCCCGGGACATTCGAAATTGAGTTTATGATGGGGCGGGCGCTTTATCGCGGGGTATTTTGTCATGTTTCATAAGCTTTATTACTGGTCAGAAGGAAGCCACGCGAGCCGCATCACGTTGCAAGCAGCTAATTCGGGTGTTTCTCAAGTAGCTCTACAACTTTCCAATTGACATTTTGGTTCTTAATACATCTAAAAAAGTTTGGTACTTAGTCCTAAACATTTAATTTATTAGGCATAATTAAAAATACTGCAACTCTCGCAAGACGTCTACCCCAAACATAAAGTTGGCTTCATTGGCGTAAAGTGGCTGCGTCTTTCATTTTTATGCTTGGTCTTTAAAGATTCGTGAAAAGCATTCGCGACCGTATCTGTCAAGGCGCGTACGCGGACAGCGCGGCCTCCTCGGCAAGTTGTTCCCTCATCGAAGACGACAATGAATAAAAGGTGCGATAAAAATCTTAATGCCTGAAAAAAGCGCAAGTTTAAAATAATTCTAAGGGTGTCAGTTGATTTTATTTCTACTATATTCAAATTTCAACACTCGTCGCGGGCAGAATGAAAGGAAGCACTGCACCCTTGGCGCAAACCAGTGCCCAGTCAGCGGTCCTACACTCAGACACGCATCACCACCCGACCTGTTTGAAAAATAAATAATTTTCAGTACTTTTGGTAGAAAAGGCTAATTTTCTACTGAGCGTGATATTTTGTGGACCCAAAAGTCCTGTAGCCGGGATCGGTAGTTCATGGCTTCAGGAAGACGAAGAACGACGGATGCATTATTTCCCGCGGAAGTACTGTTTTGAATTTGAATTCCACATAAAATTGTATATGCACAAATTGTGGCACGATACCGAACTTGCTTGATTACTTTTCTTTTAAAGACAACATAACCAGGCATAATCTACAGATATTGCAGAATTCATTTTAATTGGCGTACAGCGCGAAAGACAAGTATGGACATAAAGAACACAATAGAGCTCTGCATCTCTACTGCATTTCTTTCCGTACTTGTGGACAGTTAGTCCGCATGACTATATTCAAAAACTGCCAAATCGTTTAAGCCTACCCATTTTTATAATTTTTTTCGTAGATGAATTGTGGCGAATCCCGGCTGGGTTCGGGTAAAGATCTCGCACGTGTTCAGGGACACATTTCGGCATGATTTCCCGCTTGGTGACGACGTTGAGCTGACCGCTGTTCCACTCCTTTTCTAAGTAGGCGGGGAACGCCAGACGCCTAGATTATCTAAGCAGCCCCAAAACTTGCGGTAGTACACCTTCCGAACTCCTGGGTTTTTTTGGAGATGGCCTTCGCCCACCCTGACAAAGCCCCAAACAATTATGTAAGGGCTGCAGAGGCTATCTGGGCATTCCGTTTCTTCATCAGCGAACAAATGCGAACAGAAGAGAATGAAAACTTCGTAATACCTGCTGTCTTTTAATAAATGGCATAATATTGCTAGTGGCATAATATTGCTAGTTGCACTATTTTACGCGAAGGAAATTGTGATTTTGCGGTTCTATCTCCGTGTTTCCCGTTCTCTTTGCTGATACGCAAGATATTTGTCGGGTGTCAAGTTTTCAGTTGCATTTGTCGACAGAAACTAAATGCACGTTTGGCCACGAAGAAATTTTTTTCAAAGGCTGAAGATAGATGAAATATACCATAAACCGTTTCAGTTTTTATGGAAGTTTGTTTTTACTCTTCTTAGTAGCTTCAACGAGGCGGCCGTCACTCTAGAAAACACCTGTAGTATGAACCTATATATTATGCCCCAGAAATGGTCAGACTGGGTCCCTCTGACTGCAATATCTTTGACTTGTAATTACTCATGATTAATACTTTGTACAAAAAAAAAAAAAACAAAAAAAAAACACAATAGTGATATAATCACTCTTCAGAGAACCGTTTTTAGAACGACAAATTTTCAACTCTCTGGGTAGAGCTCAAAGTTCGGATAAAAATACCCATCTCTTTTCCTTCTGCTGTGATGTTCAAGTTCCGTTTACTCGAGATAAATATGCGGTGGTGTAGCGTGTGTGGCCGCATGCGAAAGTATCTGAATGTAAAAGAACTTGTTGTTGGGCTAGTTGGTGTTGACTATCTGAGTGTGTTTTAGAACTGCAGAAAAAGAGCAAAAAAAGAAAAAAAGAAGAAAAGCGAGCCAGCCCGAACCCTTCCGAGCTCATATGGAGCCTGCCTAACTAATCCCTGGTTTTTGGGATTGAAGCAGAGAACCTTGAAGGGTTACAGAGATTTTGTCGGGGGGGCCGGTAAGCCCATTAGCACTCGTGCGAGAAGGCCGTAAAAAGCGAGGAGGAAAATGGAGGAGGAAAGAGGAGGAGGAAAAAAAGAAAAGAGGGGGAATCTTCTGCCACGCTGAAGAAAATTTTGAGCCCCCGCCTTTAACTTAGAATCCCATGAAAGGTTCTACATCTGGTATTATTTTAAAAGCAATACTAAACATAGTCCGACTCAAGAAAAAAACAAAATTCCGCAATTTAGGTCACAGTTGTTCGCGGAGGCATGTATGGGAATTTTTACAAAGATTGGAGGCGACAAATAATACATAGTAGTTAGAATGTCGTCTTACCTACTTGCATATATATCATACTAAAACAAATATCGACGCTCTTTTTTGAATACTTTGACATTGAGAGTGATTCAAAAACGCCACACACGACAATCGTCAAAACCTAGTCGTTCTTTCCCGCTTCTTTGAGATTTGTTTTCTCAGAAACTAAACATGTCAGGACATTGAAATAAAAAGGATTGTTATTCTTTCAACATGCGCCACGAAATATAAAAATTTGAAACAAAACAAAAAATACGACTGCCCCTTATTGCCTGAATCCAAATGAAACCGGTCATATATGTATATATCGAGGCTGGGGTTGTCAGTGGGCCATTAACAAAACAGTGTTAATTTTTTATTTTTTTATTTTAGTCAAATTGAAAACCGAGAAAAAAATTAATCTGATTGCTTTAATAGGAATATTTGATTCATTTTTATTCACCGCGAACGAAGACAGCACACGCGCCGTTTCAGAAGGGTTTGCCTCCCCACTTGGCCATGGGACCGAGCAGTGGCATCGCCCTGTAGGCTTCCGACGTCAAGTACTCCTCCATGTTGGGCAGTGCCCGGAACCTCTGGAGGTACTCCACCAACTCGGGATATTCCTCGAAAGCCTCCGGCTTGAACGCGCGGTTCCAGTCCAGGGCCTCGTGGACTATGAAGTCGACGTAGGTGAGTCTGTCACCCATGACCCAGCGGCGCTCCCGAAGGTGCTCTGCCCAGGGTTTGAGCAGGTTCCCCAGGTTTTTCTCGTATCTTGCGCGCGCTGTTTCGAAGGCTGGATTCATCGCAGTCATGGCCAGTCCCCACAGCAGGTCCTTGGCCTGTTGCTCCAGTTGATCCAGCTCCATGGCTTCTTCTTCCGTTCTGGGAAATTGCGCAGATTAATGATGGGCACAATATATTTTAGAGCTCAGCTCTTAGGCCCCCGTTTCCGGGTTGGGTGGCGTCGGAGTCGGTGTAACCGCGCTAGAATTAGCGGGAAAATTGACGTCACGTGACCTCAACACCAACTTAATTCTCCGCTAAATTTAGCGGGGAAAATGACGTCCCATGACTTGGTGTCACGACACCTATGAACAAAGTCAGTTTTTCCCCTAGATTTAGCGGGAAGATTGACATCACGCGATCTCAACACCAATTGAGTTCCCCCGCTATATTTAGCGGGGGAAATGACGTCGCATGACTTGGTGTCACGTCAACTATGGACGAATTCAGTTTCTCCGTTAGATCTGGCGGGAAAATGGACGTCATGTGCGGAGGCGGAGGAGGAGGAGGAGAGGGAGGGGGAGGTACAGAGTTGGAGGAGGAGGAAGAGGAGGGGAAAGGAGGAGGAGGAATATACCGCCCCCTCCATACACTCCCCTCCTCCTCAAGAGCTGCACTCTAATTTCGCGTTACAGAGATTTGTAAGCGTCTTTAATTTTTTTTATATTTTTGTTTCTAGTACCAGACCCCCCTTTTTTACAGTATAATTATTACGGTATTGCACTTGGCTGCTACGTACAACAGCGGCGAGCCTCATATTTTGAGTGTGGCGTACCATAGCGCAACGTTACTCGTGAAAATATAAATTTTTTTTATCATTTCTGTCTTGCTGCTGCTGTTTCTTGCTGCTGTTTTTCTCAAATACGCTGCACAACATTGCCTCGACATGTGAACTGTTCTGTACAGACATTTAGTTATTACCCGTAAAATGTCTTGCGAGTGTTCCAGAAAGTCTGAAATCATGGTGAACTCATCCAGTTTCTTCTCTTTCCAAGTCGATAAGATGGCTCTTACTATGGAGCGACACATCGAGGTCATTCCGCTGGTTAATGATAGAAGCCAACTAGAAGTGTCTAAGAAGGTTAACCGTCCACATTCTCAAACACAACCAGTCACCCAAGGCTGTGTAAGGTTGTGTCAGGCACGCTTTTCACTAGAATGATCGATCATCAAGCGTTTGTTAATGGAATGTCGCCGTCAGCTGGATATCCGTGGCCGTCTCAAGCATGCCCTATAAGAAATTCTATGATTGCACACTTTTGGAACACCCCGCGGTTTGAAAATCCCGCCTTATTTTCCTCCCAAGATGCCCAACATATTACAACACTGACCGCAAGACTGATTTTAATGAAATATGTTGTATTTGTTTTTTTTGTTTTTCAATACTAACATAGCTTCTTGAAGGGTAGAATTTGTGGTATTAGCCCGTGCGAACCAAGCATAGGACAGATTTCCTCAGACCTGAGCGCTGTAGCATCAGAGGACTAGCTATAATGGGAATGCCTCCCTATTGGAAAGACCAGTTTGACAATCTATCTGGCTGAGACTGGTATTTGGACTGTTCATACTGGTCTAACAGGAAATCAAACTGATGCAACTGGTAGCCAGACTGGTCTAACTGGTAACCATAATGATTTAACTGGTCACCAGATTGCCTTCTAACTGGTCACCAGATTGGCCTGACTGGTCACCGTATTGGCCTAACTGGTCATCAGATTGGCCGAACTGGTCACCTGATTGGCTGAACTGGTCACCAGATCGGCTGTACTGGTCAGCGGATTGGCCAAACTGGTCACCAGACTGGCCGAACTGGTCCAACTGGTAACCAGATTGACCAAACGGGTCACCAGATTGGCCTACCTGGTACAACTGGTTACTAGTTTGACCCGACTTTCTCCCCTTATTCATTGGCTTTCTCACTTTGATTTATTGGCTTTCAAATAAGTACGATATGATCGAGCGTTTACTTTTTACAAAGAGATTCATCCCCTGAGCCGTTTAAAATACTCTCAGAGGTATGACATTGCTGGAAAAAAATCAACATGCTGGGAATATTTTTTATTGCTTAGGTGGTCACCGAGAAATTCTGTACGTTCAAAACGACTAGTATGAAAGACGGAATTGCAGATCTCGGTAGTAGTGATCGGGTTAGTGTGCTGTTGTATTGATGTTTGTATATGCCGTGTATCTGTATGCGCTCAATGTATGTTCAGCTGATGTTGTAGTGGCGCATTGTGTCTACATTTGTGTATAATGAAGATATCCGAAGCGGCAGTGGTGGCGTGAACAAATGAAAATATTTTTTTCCGAGCCAGTGTGACGAGTTCAACCACCATGACCAGTTCAACCATCATGACCAGTCAACCAGTATGTCCAGTTCAACCGCCATGACCAGTCAACCAGTGTTACCATCTGAAAATCACCTTATTGCGCTGTTCTCCTAATGCCGTGGCAAGTACCTCCTAAAGGCACATTATTCATTTTTCCTCAGGCGAAATTCGGTAACATGACGCATTGTTAACAAGTAGAACTAAACCTGTGCGACAATTTAAAGAGACAAAGACATGCGTCGCAGGACGGGTCTGCAAATGCTTTACTCGCCGGTGCATGCGTTTTAAACGGTCATTCACCTACTCACCTGGCTGCGAGGTCGTACTTTCTACCCAAGTGCCGTATGATGGCGACGCTCTGGGTCATCTTGACGTCGCCGTCGATGAAGTACGGCAGATTGGGGAACTTGAGCCCCAGCGTGAACTTCACGTTGGTCCAGTCGGAGCGGTCAAAGTCGGGAGCCGGGCCGGTCTTGTACTGCTTGTCCTCGAAGGGAATGCCCTTGTACACGAGCAAGTTGCGGATGTACTGAGCCAGTCCTCTGGCGTGAGTGTAACCCAGCGTAGGCGCCATGATCAGTCTGCTGGGGGATGTTGTTTTGTACGAACAGAATCTACGGCCGGTTCGTCCAAGGTACAGTCTCTTAAAGGGACCTGGTTGTGTAACAAAAGCACAGCCAGGAGAAGAAAGTGTGTAATCACTTTGTGATATCATTGTTCAGAGCTATCACCTCCGTCCAAAGTGTCTGGCCTAAAAAATAAGCGCAGGTAAGCCACTTCTGCGGTCAGATAACTCCGTACCATCACTATTCCACTCATGGTTGCGAAAGACACTGCCTGTAACATTTTACTTTTCTATTTATTTAGCAAGTTCAGCTTTGAATGTATTTATTTTTTGTACCAATTTAGTTACTTTGTGAGCAGCTTGTTACCATGATTGCGAACATTCAATCGATATGTTGCAAATAAAGAGGAAAAGGAGGTGCACAGGGGAGGTGCGGTGCACTCTACCTTTCTAAGATAACAGGATTGTAGGTCCTCTAAACAAAGAAAAAGAACAGCAAAAATAAATAACCTACAATTTAAGAGGCTATATATAGTGTCAGCTGAGCATAAAGGAAAGATTAGAGAAAGATAGAAAAGACCTACAACACCGCTGGCTGCGTGTCGAGGTGGTTAAAACATAAAAGACGCATGCTCAGAGAACTAGAAAGATAACTGCCACTATATAGAAAGATAGCTCGAACTACAGGGTGTCACAAAAGAAAATTTACACGGTCTTTTTCACCGCAAAAATAAACTAGGCATCGCCGAACGCTCATTCTCCACCCAATGGTAGAACTAGGGGTCACAACCAGATGCCAAAGTTTCAGCCCGATCCGATAACTTAACCAGAAGTTATAAGTGATTTTCTGAAAATTTCAATGGGGAAAATGTAGCCCATCATTTTTGCCCGTTTTCGGTTTCTGGTGCCATAGAGCCCCATGTGTTCGAAAACTCCGTCGGCCGCAATTTCCCCATTGAAATTTCCAGAAAATCACTTATAACTTTAGATTAAGTTAACGGATCGGGCTGAAACTTTGGCATCTGGTTGTGACCTCTATCGCTACCTTTGGGCGGAGAATGAGCGTTCGGCGATGCCTAGTTTATTTTTGCGGTAAAAAAAACCGTGTAAATTTTCTTTTGTGACACCCTGTATATAGAAAGATAGCTGGCACTACAGGGTGTTTCTTTTTAAGTGTAACAGGATGTTTTGAAAACAAATTCTGAGAGCAGCGCGGATGGCGTTTTCACAGATAAGTTGTACGGCGAGGCGGACATTACACCCCGGAAAAAATGGAACTACCCAGACGACTAATAAAAAAACAAACTAATTAATTCTTTAATTACAGTTTTTAGGACAGTGGTTTATATGGTGAATTCAGAGGCAGTAGTTGTGTAAGACCAGTCCAATTGCTAAAAATCCCGAAAAGCGCACGTGGTTTCAGGTTTGAGATAATAATTGTCGAAATATTGCCATTCATTTCAACGTAACCCGAAACCAAGCGTATGTGGAGCGCCGGAATCACAGTGGCCATCCTACGTCGGAGGGCAATGCCCAGCAATGAAATTCTCGTCATGATTTTGATTCACGGCGGTTCGCAAATATTCGCGGTTGGCATTTACCTGCTGGACAAATAAAAAGACGAGTCATCTGACAGGCCCGTACGCGCCACCTCGCCAGGCGTGCGGTATCGGTGATGAGGCATTTTGTTATGGTCGCAAGAAAGCGTGACGATAAAAAAAAAGTGAAAGCCGTTTACAACTCCCTGTAACGCCGAATCGGAGCGCAGCTCTTGAGGAGGAGGAGGGAAGGGTACTGAGGGGAGGGTAGTCACCTCCTCCTCCTCCTCCTCCTCCTCCCCTCATTCTTGAATATGCTTCGGGGGGGTCACCTGACCTCGGGGGGAGGGGTCACGTGACCTCGCGGGGGGGGGGGGGTCACAAGACCTCATGGGGGGAGTCACGTGACCTTGCGGGTCACGTGACCTCTGGAGGTCACGTGAACTTGGGGGTCACGTGACCTTGGGGTTACGCCGACGCTCCTCAAACCGGAAACGGGCGCCTAAGAGCTGCGCTCTAAAATAAAAAAAAAAAAATAAAAAAGAAAACATTTAGTATTAATAGATGGGTTGACAAGACCTGTGACGGGGCGTCGCGTAGCTCGAAAAGCAAGTAGACGTAAGTTCGGCCGGTTTGGTGCTATACACGGCTTGACGTCGCTGCACCATGCCGGTTGGCATTCCTACATGTTTTTGCAACAAAAAAATGCGAACATATATATATATATATATATATATATATATATATATATATATATATATATATATATATATATATATATATACAACACGGGCACTTCACACCATCATACGTGGTCTCCGAGGAGGATATGAACGAATATGTGCAGATGAATGAACCGTACTTAATCCAATGAATCAACGAATCAAAGTTTCCAGGAACCCGCCGAAAGCCAAAAATTGGCGGAGCCAGGATTTGAACTATGGGCCTCCCAATGTCCGGTCGGGTGTGCTAACCACTACACCACTCCACCTTTTTTTTTTATTATTTTTATTAAAAGTATGTGTATTTACAAAGTTTTAAAATGATCACATTGGTTGCCATACACTTATCATGTCAGTGAGCACTGTTTGACAGGCGAGGACCGTGATTCACACACAAATTCAAAATTTATCTCGCTCAATCATTTCTCTGTAGCGTCACATAGGTTGCCATACACTTATCATGTCAGTGAGCACTGTTTGACAGGCGAGGACCGTGATTCACACACAAATTCAAAATGTATCTCGCTCAATCATAGCGTCACATGCACCCCATGCAGCCACTCGCGCAGTGGCCCGGGAATCCTTGTTTACCACTGAGCCTTTAGAGCGCGGTTATGCATACGCGTTCCAAATAGCGACCAACATTCAAGCCCTTGTTGTTCCGTCGCCTCAAGAAGGCTGCTCACGTACAAAAAGCCGTCGCAGAAGTGTTGCCAGGCGGGCTTGGATCCCTCTCGGACCTCCAAGTGATCCGTCGTTACGCCACAGCGCATATAGACCGAGGAGTGCCAGCAGCTCCCATGCCCTACTCTGTGCACTGTCGCCGAAAAGCAGAAATTTCGCGCTCTTCCACTCTACGTAAAGATCTATCTGCAGCACTGCTCGAAGCTCTGCCCAAAAAAGCTCCGCATTCGTACAGTACAATAACACATGTTCAAGTGTTTCGGGAAACGGACACAACGCACAATTTGTTGACCACGGTTCAAAGAAACCTTTTTTAACCAGCCACGTCTTGACCGGCAGTACTTCGAAATGGAAGCGTAGGAAAAAATTCTTGACTGTCGTTCTGACAGGGTATCTACGTAAGCGACGAAATACATCCGATTTATCCACACTTCCCGGAAAGCTGCGATAGAGTGGGGGCGGTATGAGCAAATCAACTGTGTCCCAGGTACTCGTCGGAAAAGCGGGCTCGGAAAAATTCCTTCGCCGCTGCTGTTTCCTGGTAAAACTTCAGAGCACGTGCTCGGAAGTCCCCAGTGCCCCCCTTGAGCCGCAGCCCCAAAACGCTTCCTCCCAGCTCCTTAAACGCAGAAATCACGAGAGGATTGCCTTGGTCGCGGAAAAATAGGAAACGCTGTACTTTCAGCTTAAGTTCTACGTTTACAAGGCCCAACCCTCCTTTCTTCTGGCTTACAAATAGGTTGTCACGCCTCATACGTTCAAAACACGAGTCCCAGATAAACGTTGCGAAAAATCGATGCACCTTCGCCACGTCACTTTGGGAGCACGGCAACACTTGTGCCGCGTACCAAACGGTCGGAAAAAAAAACAGAGTTACAATTTAAATAAATGCGCGATTGAACAAAGAGAGTTCCCTAGCATGCCAGTCAAGCACCTTACTTCTGAGGCGATTAATATCCAAACCACCGCATCGGCCACTCAGTTTCTCTGCGATCAAACTGAGCCCTAGGTAATTCGAAACGCTCGTCGTCCAGGTGACACTAAGGAACTGCTCCGGTTTCAAGTCCCAGTCTCCAAGCCAGGCTCCGACAGATTTGTCTGTGTTCATCGGCGCACCCGAGACACTGCAGAAGTCTGCGATGTGTTGGGTTACAGCGCGCACTTGCATCCTTGACGAGCACAACACCGTGACGTCATCTGCGTAGGCGAGCACTTTAAGCGTACCCGACGCTAGGGACAGCCCGCGAATGCTCGCGTCACCGATAATGGCCCTGCACAACGGTTCCAGGTACAATGCGAACAGAATAGGCGACATCGGGCAGCCTTGTCGCACAGATCGGGTAACTGCAATGGGAACCGTCCTGTTGCCGTTGACCAGGAGCCGCGTCGTGATGTCACGGTAGCACAGCTGCACATATCGTAGCAGTCGCACCCCGATCCCACACTCCTCCATGAGCCGGAAGAGGAACGAATGGCGAACCCGGTCGAAGGCTTTGCTCAGATCTACCTGAAGCACTGCCACTGGAAGCTTCAACACCTGCGCTGCCTCGCACACGATTCGCATCGCGTGCAGGTTGGTGCTGATGGTCCGTCTCTTGATGCCGTAGGCCTGATGCTCTCCGACGACGTCCCGTAGACCCCACTCCAGCCGCTTTGCCAGAATCTTGGCTAGGATTTTATAGTCGCTTGTTAGCAGACTGATGGGCCGGAAATGGTCGACCTTCGGGGTACCCTTTGAGTTTTTCTTCTAGATGAGCACCGTTACCGCCTGTCGCATGGATGGTGGCAGCAGTCCTCGCTTCAGTACGTCGGCGTACACGTCTCGTAGGATAGGACACAGCTGGGCTGAGAACGTCTTGTAGAACTGGCTACCGAGCCCGTCCACTCCTGGCGATTTGCGCGGAGCTAATTCCTTGATGGCTTCCCGTTATTTTCCGGTTCATTTGTTTTCGGACCTTTGGGGATATCTTGGGCAGCGCCACTCCAGTCGTTTGGAGAACGCCGTCGTCCTCCACTCTCGGGAACAGGTCGGTGTAGGCCTGCAAAAACGCATCTTCGATTTCTTCTTGCCGGGTAACCTCGACGTCGCCTATTTGGAGCTTCCCGATCTTGTTGCGTGAAGCGTGCTGGCGTTCCTTCGTCTTG